GATTTAAATGCCCCTCCCCTTTCCTTTCTAAAGCGACTCTGTGCAGTTAAAAATTAAATGCATCCCAACTCCCACCCCTTCTCAGAAGAGTGTATGTAAGGCACCTCCCCCCCCACCCCCAATCTACCAGTTATTGGATTGCAGATTGTGGATTGCATTGATGTGTAGAATAGCATGGTATTTGCTTACTGTACTGTAGATGAAGTTTCTAAGTACGTTTAGCCCAGCTTAAATGACTTGTCCACACGTTGGCAGTTTACTCTCTGATGTAAAGTATCAAACTAACACGTTGTACTTGAAGTATCGAAAAACCACACAACATACAACAGACGATAGATCTAGATCTAGTGGTGTAAGACGGGGGGTTTTTTTTTTGAGTCTTTGGAAAAATATTCTCCCGAGTGGCACTTGGGAAAGGCACTTTACACGTATTTTCCTCACTTCACCCAGGTGGGCATGGGCACCCGGCCATAGACAACGAAAGATCTTGTCAGTATGTTCGTGCTTTAGCGCCTATAAATGGTTGCTTGCACTCTTTACTTTTGCATAAGATCCCTCACCGATCGTTGTCCCTATGCTGTATCCAAGTTTCTTCAAATACACTTCATCGTCCGATGCTAGCTACTCCCTATGGGATTGTCCCGTCCATTCTAGACGATTGTGTGATGTGCCTGAACCACCCTAGCTTGCTTCTTTTAACTTGAAGCGGGGGGTCTTCATGCGGCACAATTGCGTTTCCAATGAATCCCCAATGACTTTCGAGGCTGATGGATCTAAGCTGTGATAATTTGTGCTGAACCCAAACAAGACTTAAAAGCTTGAAAAGAAAGACTGTAGGCGGGGAAAATATATTTATGATATGTAGATTTTTAGTAACAACAACATCTAGAATCTATATAGATAATAGATAGCACACGGCGTCCGAAATTCCGTCTCAGCGATCTTTTAGTTAGACCGGGCCTCCCGCGGTAGGCCATAAATTAGCGGCAGGTGACCTGCAATTTCACGCGTCAAGTCAGGGATTGACCGGGGTCAACCCGTGCACAGCGCCGTCCTATCTTGTCCTTATCAGAACGCGTTTCTTCCCCTAATTTCATGAGCCGTAAAATGATGCTCACTCTACTCCTAGAATCTATATCTTCACCAATTTTGCTTCGTCTACTTCTTCTTGATATCTTGTGAAAGTTTCAACGGTTTTCATTGATGCGTTTGGGAATAATAACAGTTTTAAA